TAGTTTTAAAACTCAATTAATATTAAATTGCTTCATTGTTACAATTGAGGAAGTGCTAAAGATTGTGACTGCATGTCTCAATTGGATACGGGGACCAATTTATCAAAGATCACCGGAAATTGACAGAAAAGACAGAAAACTTGTACATCAAATGAAGTTTCTACTTATAAAAACAAACTGTTTGGCTCAGAGGGTGTAAACAACTACCTCTCTCCAAGAGAGAGCAAAGTCAGAACTCGTAAAGATTATGAAATATGGGTGTATCAGCACTCTCAAGACCTCGTTTGTTGTCAGATTTGTTCCAGACACAAAAGCCAGACTAAATATAATGTTTGGATTCAGTACACGACACCAAATGATAATAATCCAATAAAAGAGTACCACTGTCAATGCCAAATTGGTCAAAGAACAATGGGAGTGTGTGCTCCTACATCAAGTATACTTTATTATCCTTTGCTGTCATAGCAATCTTCAAAATCCAAAACAGTTGCACCCAAGGGCTAAAAAGTTCCGACAAAGCTTGAAATAAGTTGTCTTCTTGTGAATCTAGAATCACCAGTTTGAAAACAAACTCAAAGCCTTGCATCATGTTTTCTTCCTTATTTTTTCCATGTCTGCCATTCGAACACATTTCATACTCTTGCATCTTGCAAAACATTATCTGTTAATGTCATCAGCTGTTAATACGGCTTCTAACTTTAATACATATATAAAACCAAAGTGGCAAACAATCACACAATCTCTAAATTTCACTGGTAGTTGTCTATTAATCTGACAACTAATTGGACAGTGAAATGAATGTTTTGGTGGCCATCTTGAAAAGGAATCGAACATCGAATCTTTTCCAAACATCTTCTCTGTTGTTTAAATACTCATCCCATTCAGACTGGAACACTTCTTTTCTGTCAGTTTTCAAGCATAATGATGAGACTATACATATAGTCATGAATTCTGATGTATAGACCATATAGTCATTTGATCCATTCTTTGAATATGTTCCACCACATATTTTGTATTGTTACACCTGAAGTGAATTTCTAGCTATTTGATTGTTTGGGAGAAAATTAAACAAAAATATCTGTCACACTCCGAAAATACATTGGTTTTAAGGGGCGCGGGTGATATTGCCATGAGACAGTAAAAAATATCACATGCGCGAAAAATGTGCGTTCACCGCTTCGTTTCCCCACCGTGACACGTCACAGGAACGTTTGACGGTTCAATCATAATGATTAGACTATATATATATAGTCATGAATTTTGATGTATATACCATATAGTCGTTTGATCCCTTCTTTGAATATGTTCCACCACATATTTTGTATTGATATTTTTGTCACTGGTAGTTCAGTACCAGGTCCATCTATAATCAAAATAGTGTTGGTATACAAAAGTTATAAATATTTTTATTCCAAGATGAGCAATTTTTTTTTGTCTGAAACATATCATTGCTTGAGATGGCTTCTGGCTGTTGATTTGTCTGTACATATCTGATAACTAACCAAAGCAGGGACTTTGTATAAGTATACTGTAGTTTCCAAAGATGCAGATTGATGAAGGTTATGGACAAGTTTTATGGTCACCATCACGATCACAGGGACCTGAGAATTTGTTACAGCCATATTTGGACCTAAACTAAGGTGTTTAGAGTAATTTTTCACGTTTGGGGGGTTTAGATCGATTTTCGGTAAAAATGCCACCCCCGCCCATATGATCATATTTTGCATTGCATTTCTCCATCTTGTTGATTTGGTGTTTCCATATCTTATAGATTTGGTGTGTGTCCAATACCATGCCACGCCTTCTCTCCTCAATTCATCTCGACCTCCTCCGTGTCTCCTGGTCTCGTTAACCTCTCGTTAACCTCTCACTCAATCTGTCCACCTGAGAACAGCCCTTGGTTATGTGACCTTTGGCATTCGACACATCCCCAAGTGATCTCCATCTTCGCCCTTAAAAGGCGTTTCTCCTACCTGTGTGTATTATACCAGTTCACCTGAGAAATATGTTGTTTGTGATGGTTTTCGGACAGAACATCTTAAGAATCCTTTTGTGGTACATTTGATAAATTTCTAAATTGATGTGTGATGCATGTTGCTATCTATGATCAGCATTGCGGGTCATACAGAACAACACTGTAAGGGAAACGAATCTCTCGTGTTAAGGGTGGTCTGGTGTCGCAGTGGATAACGCACTCGCCTTTCACCAAGACGACCGGTGTTCGATTCCCCGATCGGCGTGAAAAGGTCATGCACTTGCCCGATCATGTGGGGTTTCTCCGGGTACCCCGGTTTCCTCACACATATAGACCTCCACGCGCTAACTTCCGGGCTAAAAAGAGTTGGTCAATGTAAGTTAAAATAACTTGTTTCATGATTGTTGTAAAATAAATAAAGTTTTTATAATTAAACGAATCTCTTTTACGATGATCTAATGTCATTTCGGTGACAATTTGTTTCGAATATGATCCGTGGTCTGTAGAATCTTTGATGATGACAATCCAATGAAAAATTTTGAACATTTTGGGAACTCTTTCATCTGCCTATCCCAACATTGCAAAATATTAAGAATACTATTCTAAAAACTCAACAATGTCATAAATGTTGAAATTAATGTCAAAATGTCATACTAGTATACTAAAACACATGTTTTGACAGTTTAAATGCCTGCTGTTCGGATTTCGACAGGACTGTGAACGTTGACCTGCAGTTAGCAGGCTTGTTAGAAACTTCGTCGAAATGTTTTGTTTAACACTAAAGCAATATACAGAGGATTAAATCATCATCGTGACCGTAGTGACTTGGTGCAGGAGACGCTTGCCCACCAGGAGTATGGAATGTTGCCTTCCTTTTTTCGATCGTTCCTTTGATTTATTTATGTCTCCGATTTGTTCTGATCTTCGGGTTTGGTGTTTCGACCATGAGTGATAACGTGTTTGTGTTTGTTTTGATATTCTATTTATAGCTCGTCATGCTGTGGTCACGAGGATGATAGACATGCAATGTATAAAAGGGACCATATAAAGGCCATGCCTCATATGTAAATTCCATAACTCAACTAACCCTATAATTTATATTTAAATATTTATCACTCTAAGGCACGGCCACCATTTAAGCAAAGAATGTTTTAGCAAATGTAGTTATGGTCCTATAACACACATTGCTATTGATGACCGGTAGGGCTTTATTGAATTATAACTAGGTATTTGGTTGATACGTTTAATTCATGGCTGTACAAAGCCGAATTATAACAGGTATAAATGCCCTGACACACGTGTTGGTGACGTCATTATTATGGCGCCATAATTATAACGTTTGATACCACTGACCCAATCATTCAACAAAGATACACTAATATATTTGAGCTAAATGCTAAGCTTGGGTAAATAAATATAATTTTCTGTGAGATTATAACGTTTTGAAAAGTTGTGAATATAAGTATTGAATATATGGAAAGCAAATGGAACGTGGCAGTAATTCAGCAACATGAAGTGTGCTTAATGGAATTGATCATGTTCCAGCAGGGACGTATAATGATACTGTCCCTGGTTCCAGTTAGAATTCTATGAATGCCAAGTGTAAGCTGTTCAATGCTCGTATTTGTAGCCTTTAAATTGATTCTGACGATGCTCTGTTTTGAGGACGTTTGAAAACATAATTCTGTCAAATGAGTTCCGTTTAAGTTTTGCACTCTTATAATTTGACATGTCTCCAAATGCGGACCAGTACCCAAAACGGAGCACTGTTCAGAAGAAAAATAAATAGAAAAAAAACCCAACTTTCCACGTTAGTCTAATCGGTTAAGGTTTCGTGTTTTACAGAACGTAACGTTTGAATCAATATATGGTAATGCACAGATAGTAATTTTACTTACGAGTTCAAATAGAAGATATCAAACTAATAAAAAGTTGCGCGTGCGAGGACTATGCATGCCTTCTGTTTTGGACAGCAGAAATATAAACTTTAATTATTTAACAACAATTATGAAACAAGTTATTTCAACTTATATTACTCACTCTTGTTGGCCCGGATGTAAGCGCGTGGGGGGTCTTAGTGTTGGAAGAAACCGTAGTACCAAGAGAAAACCCACGTGTTCGGGCAGGTGACCCCAACCGTTTCACGTCCGATCGGGGAATCGAACCCCGGCCGCCTTGGTGAAAGGCAACTGCGCTATCCACTGCACCACCCGGAAAGGCAACTGCGCTATCCACTGCACCACCCGACCACCCAGCAAAAATATTCTTACAAAGTGCATAGATCATTAGAAAGCGTAGACATGCGTGCAAAGATCTGTTTACTTGACGCGTAGGATCGTTCAGATTGGCATGGCATTCGCAAAACTGGACCGTGGCGTTGATTGATGATGTCAATGTGATACACAGCTGTTTTGTATTCTTATCATTTGATCAGGGAGGTCTCTGAAATCGTGAACAGCAATAAAATTATGTAATTAATGTATTGAACAAAATTGAACAGCTACAAATTAGTATCTATAAATGGGCCTACAATCTAACATCTCTGGTTAGGTGATATATTTTGGGTACTTTCTCCGATAAACCAAATTAGCGGTCAGTAAATTTTATTTAAATCTGCAATGAAACGAGCCAGTTGTAATGACATTGGATTTAAAACAAAACTTTTGAAAATTGTAACGGGTACCTGCTACCAGAGACGTATATATTGTAATATATATACGTCTCTGCTGCTACATATATAGACCTAGCTTTTTATCAATGCCTTTGTCTACAAAATCGATAATATTTAATATCAAAGCTTATTTAATCTGTTTTGTAAAATATTATGACGATTTCAATTACTGAAGAAATCGGAAATATCGACTACAAATGGATATTAGTAATAACCTTTCCGTACGTAGCTGGCTGTAGGTTTGGCCCTATTTATTTATAGATATTACGGTAAGAAGACCCAGTCGATTTTTATGGCAGGGCGTCAGCTTATACACGTACAATTTCCACATTCGTTTATCAATAAATATAGTCGTATGAATTGACTTTATACACAATCTTTTAAATCCGCGAGTTTATAGGAAATTACGGTACAAAATGTACCTAATTGTTTGCCGCTAGGGGTCGCCATTGATTGACCGAGGAGCCACGGCGATATCAAACCTACATGGAGTTCGTGGTTTGTTTATCATAAGTTGAATGTCATTCTCTCGAAACAGGACAGGTTAAAAGGTTAACTGAGACCCCGGGAAACCGTGGGAGAAGCTCGTGTCCAGGATGACGGCAATGTCACCATTCACACCTCCGATCATCAAAAGGCTCCTCGGTTTTAAAAAGGGGGACAGTTCAGAACGCGAGGATAAGTGGAGTGAGAAGGCTGTCAAAAGTCTCGTGAAAAAGTTAAAGAAGACCGGAGGTCTGGATGAGTTGGAAAAAGCCATAACGACTCAGGAATTGAATACTAAATGTATAACAATACCCAGGTTAGTTGTTATTATATCACTTTTTGGAGGGAATTGAAAGGGAAATGGGGACTCAATATGGCGGCTCACCAAACAAACTAGTGAGCTATTTGAGAGGCGCCTTAGGGGTATCTTATTTATACGTGTTTACTTGCCGAGGTTGATGGCAAACACTTAAAACACTGGTACTTTTTGAGGGTCCCAATTTGAATGTAATGGTTGTTGAAGTGTGTGATATATACCTATATTGCTAACAAGCTCGTCCATACCCAATCAAACCCATTTTAGAAGCTCAGTACAAGTTGACAATGCTTAGCTCTGTTAACAATCTCTAACTAGTCTTGGCTAGAAGTATTCAGTTTCGCAGACTTATAAAGGAATTGCTTATTCTTTTAATAACAATATATAACATGTCATGCATGACTTAACTCCCGAGATTACGACTAAAGGGAACAAGCTAAAATGTCGCAGGTGAATGCATGAACTCGTGAAAACAAAGCAATCACTGTTATATTACATCCATGTTTCAATCAGGCGTCAAAATAATCTTGAACATTATTTCTTCAAATGTACATATTTTTCAACCCAATTTTAGTGAAAAATTTGAGCATTTTGTTGAGTAACATTAAAACACTGTAATTTTATTGAAACAAACTGATTTTTTACATTTTTGGTCTGTCATGGTTAGCTTCATTCCCGATGCATACTTGCCAACCCTCCCTATTTAGGAGGGAGACTCCGGATTTCACATACTTGCCAACCCTCCCTATTTAGGAGGGAGACTCCCGATTTTGGACCCCAAAAGTGAGCATTTTCAACCAGTGAATTTGTTAAACTATTATTATTTTCTAAGATCTGATGATTTCACCTGAAAGAGTTCTGAGCACACTAATCTCCCCCATGGAAATTTCATAAAGTGTGACGACGCCTCTGAAGTGAGACGTGAGTGCTGTATATGTATTAAATATGAAAAATGCGCCAAATTGTAGTACAGGAAATTAAGAGTTTTGGAGAATACATGGATTTCTAAATTTTACCATTCACCAAAAATAGTTTTGAAATTTGATTTAGCCGGAAGCAAAAAGACCACTCTACATTTGTAAACACTAAACTGGGAAATTTCTTCGTATTGTTGGAGTTATCAAACTAGAGTGCTTAGGTGCGTCGAATATCCAAGTCAGCTCCGTTGCTACATCTTCTGTTAAAGATGTTATTGTCGGCACTTCATATTGCATGTAGTCGTTGTAATCTGTGGTATCCCAGAAATTGATGCCTCAATTTATTATCGATCATTATCGTCTAATACGTTATATTGCAGTTTCATGTAAACACAGAAAAAAATAAAGTTCCACTTAAATAAAAAACGACACTGCACTAGACAACTTACTGAATTATTTTCACATAATGTAACGGAACTGTTGTAGTGAGTGTGTATACATATCAGTTTTTGCGTACATACTTCTAACAGGTTTCTCGAAACTCTGTATTTCTTGGCAAGTATTACATAGATGAATTCTGGCTCTGACTACCATGTAGGCTATTTTCCATATAAAAATACCCAGAAAGATAGCGTGGTTTACTGGGGATCGAACCCAAGATCCCAGACTTCCTACTCGGACGCTCTACCACTGAGCTAAATGGAAATTCCATCTAGCGCGAAGCTAGTAGTGTAGGCGACCGTATTACTATGTACATTTAAAATCTGCCACATTACTCCCACTTTTTAAAATGTGTTTGCCCTCAAACACCACAACAACCCAGGTTCTAACTCCCTGTCACCAAGGGGAGGGCTAAGGATACTATTTGTAACTGGGAAGAGAGTAGTGTGCTTCCAATGAGGATCAAATTCTTGATCCTAGACTTCTACTTAGACGCTCTACCACTGAGCTAAACGGAAATTCTCTCTAGCACGAAGCTAGAAGGCAACCATAATCCTCTGTACAATTAAAATCTGCCACATTAAAAAGGTTCACAACTAACCCCCCCCCCCCCCCCCCCCGAAATATAAATCTAGGTTACCTAAAATATTCCTGGATCAACCGGAAGCCCTAACAATCCTACCTTTATGGTCCGAAACAGAGTGACCAAATTGTGCATGCATGTGCAAGCCCCGCAACACCAAATGGATGAATGGGTTAAGAAGTGGGGTCTTATATAATTACCCAATGTTAAAGTAAGCTAACCAAACTTTATACAAGTCTGGCTCTCGTCACAGTAACATGCCCAGGGGTGAAGGATAAGGAAAATCCACCCACAGGTTTCAAAAAGGGTTCAGTAGGGTAAAACAAGAGGCTCTGTTTGGGTTTTGCAACAATTTGAATATCCCAAGGTGGAATTTCCTTACCCTTCACCCCTGGGCATAATTTAAAAGAGTATTTTTCTCTCTTTCCCATCATTCAAATTCTGCATCAGGGTATCAGAATGTTTCCGATTTCGTGACATCATATCATCATTGCTGCATTGTAAAGTCACACAAGTAAGTTAAGAATTTCTCATACCCCTTTCTTACTTTGGACAGCTCTGTCATATATATAGAGAGAAAATAAATAGATAAGCTATTTGTTACTAAGGAATGTTAAAGAAACAAGGGGCAGCGATCAGATGATTTTCAATGTCCATGGGACCTGGAAGGGTTATAATCCAAAAAGACTATTCCACTTGAACAGTTGGTCATATTTCAACCAAATTTCTCATGAATCAGCCTTTGAGCCTGGAACAGAGTGATCATATTTCAACCAGATCTATGAAACATTCCTGATCCTTGGGACCTGGAAAAGGGTTATCCAAACGATTTCCTCTTGAACAGTTCATCATATTTCAACTAATTTTTTACCACAAAACATCCTTTGAACATGGAAAAAGGGTAATCCGAAAATACTACTCCTCTTGAGCAGTTGATATCATATTCAACAGATTTCTTATGAAACATTCTTGATCCTCCGGCCTGGAAAAGGGTAACCAGAAGACTTCTCTCCTGAACAGCTGATTATCTTACAAGCTTATAATTATACATGTATGTTATCTAGTGGTTTGTGGGACTCGGATATTTGATTCCTGTACTCGCGGTTTCCCATTGGGACTCACCATATCTTTCTGAGAACCAGTGATTTTCTACCTCTTTTCCACTGGGGCCTGTGACTTTATCACCCACAAAAAGCGGTAAATAAAGTGATTTTGCATTAATTTTGGGAAAAACTTTCGAAAATTATCACAGAGAAGAGGGCCTTAAAAAAATCATGTTGACGGAGAACCGATTATATCTCTTATTAACTGGACTCACAGATTTTTTTTGAAAAAGATGTCCTGGATTCACCTGAAAAATGTCTGGAAAATTTCTACAAAAATCACTGAGTATCCTTTGGGCCAGAGGTATGACATGTTGTAGCAGGGTTTGTCTCTAACAGTACTGTAACAGCCTGTGAGGCTGCCTAGAGTCTGGTTAATCCAATAAGCTACGTGCACAATACAGTAGTTTCAAACCCTATACATGTACAGTATACCAGGAAACTTTCACCCAATAAAATCCATCTTCGCCTAATGTTAATTTTGCAAAAACTTGTAAATTTGTTGATTTAAGAATGCTGATGTTTTCTGGGGGTGAGCAAATACTTTTGTGTCCTATAGCTAGGGAAATTTAAGCTCTGTTTTCTGAAATAAATGAAGAAAAAAAGGTAAAAGTGTCATATACATATGTAATCACAATGTTCTATACATCTCTTTTCATATTGCAATAAGTTATAGATTGATGACCACAGTAATCGTGGTTGTTATGGTAGAGGATTTATGTATCTGTAACACCTAAATTATTATACCATTGTTAACTAGTATCAGAGAATATTTTCAGTGTCTGAACTTAACAGTAGACTGATAGACAGTGGTAATGAAAATAAATCAAACTTTCAAAGTCTAATTTTTCATAGACCAATTTTCTGTGAAAAACGTTAGATATATCACATAGTCCATATCATCTATTCGTTATCTCTTTTATTATTTTAACCCCCTTTTTATTTTAATTATCTACACATACAATGCGAATGCGTTTAAAATTAACCTTTTTATCTGGTTTTATCTTCGCTACTCACATGTTTGTTTAAAAAAATCAAAAAAATCACCATGGCCCTAAATGACCTGATAGCCGTCGATGGGCTGTTAAACCCAAAGAAACTAACAAACAAACAAACAAGTGAAAAACAACTTTTTGCATTCCTCACATAAAAAAGGGTGGGTTATCTCCCTTACTATATCAGAATTGTTTTTTTTTGTGATTCCACTGAATCACAGATTGTATGGTGTTAAATAGCTTGAAATCTTTCTGGTGAAAACGTGTTAACAGATCTAGATATTAGTCTGAAACAGCAATCACAGTTTTAGTGACATGGTACATGTACTTTGTCATAGTGATAACATAAATATATTTTCAATCCTCATTCATAAATAAATTCGCAATCCTCTATCATAAATATAATTGTCAAGCCTCTTATCAGAATATAGTGATAATTGTCAGACAACCATTGTTGATAAATTGTTGTATGATGGAGGCGGAAGATCTTATTTAAATATAACAAAAGTGTTGCCCCTCTCACTCTCAGACTTTGTTTTGCACAGCACACATTATAGGGCTAGACAATAAAGGAAGCCCACTAATCGTGAGGCTATATAGCTAGTGAAATCTCCAGCTGAACCATCCTCGATACTCCAGTGATTACGCTCACTTACGATTTGTGCACCCCTAGAATATATCTTAGCAAAATTGCACAGCATTCCACCCAGTCACATTCTGACAACGAGTAAGTTAACTGATCGATGATCGGACCGCATCATGTAGGACTGAATACCTAAATAAAATGAGACAACACTACTGTTACATCAAAAGACAGGAGGGGTACGTGTCGCAATGAGCCCAGAGTGTATCACGATATTTTGCAATATAGAATGAATATATTGTGATGCGTATCACGATATATTGTCATAGGAAGGATGTGCTCAATTTTATTATAAGTTGTTGTCAGAATGTTATCAAACTTAATCATATATAATAAGGATTACATAGACTTATGATTTTTGTCAAACCAACCATCGATTACAAAATTTAAACTATTAAAAGCCTGCTTTATGCTTATCGGCATATCTGTTAGAATTAGAAGTAATTTGCAAAGTTAAAACACCAGGCATATACATAAAAATATGCTTTTGAAAAATATTGCGATACAGCAATATTTCATCTGTGTATTGTGGTACGATACGATATCCCCTTGTATTGCGATATACCTGTTTTCCAATATATATTGTGACAGCCCTAAAAGACAGTTGTTAACTTTTATAATTAATGGATTTCAAACGACTTTTTTGCAGATTTGTCACTCATAAAGTAAAATCATTAGAATAAATGACTTTCAGTGCATACATTTAAGATATTTAACACTTTGATTGCGATAAAGAAACCATATTGATTACGGAATTAACAGTTTTCATTAAGAACGGGCAGTAGGCCAAAATGACTGTTTCAGATCTCATTTTGGCCTGCTCAAAGCACCCTTTTCTCATATATGTCGTGTAATTTTATAAAAGTTGACCGGAAAGAAATATCATTTGGTCTGATCAAAAGGAAGTTAATGAAAAGCCTGCCTGGGAATATGTAATTGATAATCAGAATCGGAAAGGGCAAACCAATTAGTTTTTGATTATAATCACTGAACAGCCCATCACTATAGAATATATCTATCTATCATTCATTCAATGCATATATTCGAAAGACAAGCCATTACAGGAGCTGGTCGAAACTGGTCGAAACTGGTCGGCAATTAATAAAGTTTTCCTCCTACTTACCTTGAGAATCTGGTAAATGTTTGTTTTATCTAACTATTGGGTAGCTATACGGTAGACACCCTGCATACCGATTGATGCAAGCACTCATCTTAGGACCCTGCCTAGCTATATTGAACCTGTGTTGGCTGTTCTCTCCCCGTTTTATGTTCCAAAGAAAAATCTCTTACTATGAGATATACCGGTAATATTGTACAAGTATATATCAAACAACAGCAAACAAGAAGATAAAAAACATAGATTTATGTAAATATTATATTAATACATATACAATTTATTAATCAACAGAAATGTAATACATGTATTATAATTTGTAAAGCAAACAGAAATGTAATATTATATTAAATATGTACAATTCATCAATCAACAGAAATGCAATATTATAATTTGTAAAACCAACAGAAATTTAATATTATATCAATACACTGTACATATTCAATTTATTGAAAAAACATAAATACAATATTTTATGATATATTCAACCACAAAATTTATAATACATAACATTATTAATTTTCTTTACTTTTCTACTAAACACCAAATAGCCATCGGTATCTTTTCACTCTGAAATTTAAGGTTGAAAATAAAAATATGTTAAACTCCATTATTATCATGCAACATTTGTTATAGTCCTTTACCAAAAAAAATATTCCGTAAAAAATCATGTGTTGCTGTACATTTTGCAGAAATATAGTTGTTTGAAGTTTAAATGTTTGACAATATTAAGAAACGACTACGATGGTTGAACTCCGAACCTTTACATTGCAAAGCATACACTTTTGTTTATGGAAGTTGTCAAATAGGAATTATACAAGCAGGGCTTCAAAATGTGTGTTCAATGTATGAACAAAAAAACGGACAGGGTAAATAACTCTAGAATGACTGGCTTCATCTTTCTCTGTTACCCTTGAATATGATTAAAAAAAAAAAAATCTCTTATATTTAAAAAAATAATTACTCTTGTAGGGAAAAACAAAAATGATGAAAAATGATGATCATTTCCAGTACTGGCACCAACTTGTTAAATTTAATTAAATTAAATACACAACATTTGATATAGCACCTTATCTAGCTAGAATAAGCCACTTTCAAGTGCTTTACAGATCATAGATTTATAATTTAAACAATAAATAGTACATTAAGTACAATTTTGAGGAACTTTCAGGAGCTGCCTGATCAGACGCTAACTACCAGTCCTATGCCACTAGACTAATACCTCCCTATGTGTGTATGCCTGCGTGTGTGATGGAGATGTGTTATGATGTCACATGATAAAAAATGATGCCCAAATTTTCTTCAAATCTATGATTGGGACCCTATTATAGTGATAAGTGACAACTAATTTTCAACTTCTATGCAGTACTTGAAGATGTTCTTCAATTGCATGCTAGCAATTAAAAGTTACTTAGGATATAATACAGAATGGAACAGATATTATGATAAGAATCTATAATTTTAAGATATGGAATGGATTATGATGTATGTATGAAGGGAGAGCAATACATACATAGGATTAATATTGCAAAGATGCAATAACCTGAAAATGGTAAGAAAATATTTTCTACAGTTAAAATTATTTCATACAGTACAAGTAATTTCATATTCAATGATGTAGTACTTCTTCTTTATTATATATCAAAATCATAAAAAAATCCATCTGATTTGAAACCATTTACCTGCTAATGTTGTCAGTTTTTTGCAGTGGGTTGTTTCCCTTGGACTGTAGTAGGGCTTCAGTAGTCTGAAATATATCTACATGTATACACATAAATATGTATATATATTAGCTTCCCGATTAGATACTGTTGACATGTATATTGGAAGTGTTTGTTTTAACCTGAAGAGATATATAGTGGATAGGGTAAGCAGAGAAAATAAACTGATCCTAATTTCTTTTCCAGAAACCATTAGCCAGACTTCTTGTCTATTTCAAATAAATGCTTGTACTACTACTGTTTGCAGTAAATATGAGGATATTTTTTATGCCTACAAACTCTTGGCTATGCATGCATAGATCTGTCATATTCTGTTTTAATTTTGATGCAATGTTTCAGGTTGTAATCAGGTGAGATTTTAATTATGCAGATTTAAAAGTTAAAACTGTTTTCACTGTTTTGTGTGAAAATTTTCTGTGCAATTTCATAGATTTTTAAGTTTGTTTCTTTAAAAGTTTATGTTTTGACAATTATTTTATCATATCCCGTTTGATTATGTATTGATAAAAAAGTTGGACTTAATTAAGATTTCAGATTTAAGAATATATGCTACCTTGTTTGTTATACATGTCATTTGTGTACAGAGTTACCTCCCTTGAAGATATGCTACCTTGTTTGTTATACATGTCATTTGTGTACAGAGTTACCTCCCTTGAAGATATGCTACCTTGTTTGTTATACATGTCATTTGTGTACAGAGTTACCTCCCTTGAATATATGCTACCTTGTTTGTTATACATGTCATTTGTGTACAGAGTTACCTCCCTTGAAGATATGCTACCTTGTTTGTTATACATGTCATTTGTGTACAGAGTTACCTCCCTTGAATATATGCTACCTTGTTTGTTATACATGTCATTTGTGTACAGAGTTACCTCCCTTGAAGATATGCTACCTTGTTTGTTATACATGTCATTTGTGTACAGAGTTACCTCCCTTGAAGATATGCTACCTTTCACATTATACTTGTATCTTTGCATTGTATAAGAGTAATACCTCCCTAAAAGATAAGTTCTACCTTATAGGCGTACACTATAAGTATGTTTTTGTTTTAGAGTTATCTCCCTTAATGCCATATTTTACTTTTTAAGTTATCTCCCTTAACCCATTCACCCCCAAAGTCAAACTTGAGCCTTACCATTTTAAAGACTCAGCAAGTCCAGTTTTAAAATGTAGGGGTGAATGACTTAATGTCATATTCTACCTTACAAAGACTTGCTGTTCAAAATGAAATATTGTGATACTTGTTTCAAAAATCTCATATGAAATTGTTAAGTCATTTAAGATCCTCTATTTATGAAGCATTATAGACATGTGTTTAGATATTTATGTAATAGCAAGGACTAAGGAGATGTATCTAATATTCATGTAACATTAAAAAGATAGAATAGCACAGTTTTTCCTACTTCTTCATTGGTTGGATTTAAATCATGCAGAGGTAATGATTCTGTGATGTATTGACCCTTTGTTACTATTTTAAGAAACAGCAGGTTAGTATTCTCTTTATGACATCAACTCAATTATAAGGACTTACAATGTATCTCTGCCAAATGAAGTACCTTTCTGTAATGAGTTCCTTACATTCCATCTTGTTTTATGATAAGAAAGTATTGTCATATCTTATATAACAATTATGGGCATTTTTAGGTGAATATGTGGTTATATTGACCAGGAAAGAGATATTGACATTGACTGTTATTTGGTAAAATGATATTGCTTTCTCTGGTTAATACAACCACAAGTGCACCTCAACCAAAGTCCATAATTGTTAATTATGTCTTCGTAAGGTAGCCTATATTATTAGATCTCACAAGTTTGAAGACAAGTCCAGTGTTATTCTATAAATAGTTTTGACCATTTTGTTCCACATCCATTTCAGTCATGGTGCGCGCTCTCCCCTTCAATTGGTTGCCAGGGCAATGGAAAAGTGAGTTTTTCATTTTTCTATTTTAATTCTTGCATCGGGGTCTCCAAATAATAATAATTATAATAAATTGGATAATTGAGTTTGGGTAAAAAAAGATAATTGAAAAGGTTAATTATGATCATTTGATCAAAATCTGAGAGGGATTAATGATTACATCTATTGATAAGTTTGAAATCATATGATAATTATATAATAATAGGATTTATGTTGTAACGTTGTGACATCAGTACTGTAAATGGATGTGTTGAAGTGCAAAAATGTGTTACATTGTTTTTATGTTGATGTGCATGCATGTATGTATTGTATACAGGGAAATTTTCACCACAGTTTAACTTTTGTCTTTTTTACCCTTCGCATTGAGAACAAGTTATGCCCACAGCATACCATATATAATAATTACATGTGGAGGCCAAAATTAAGTCTCGACTAACATGGATTTTACCGGTGGATGGCAAATATTTGACAGAAGAAAGTTTCTCAGTATATTACAACACATACAGTTTTTGTTCTGTGTCCTGCTGTTTTTCAATTTAACTCATTCACCCCTGAATTTTCATAATGAACTATTCCAACCTTTGAATTGGGAGTGTTCAAATGTGTCTTCAGGGGTGAATGAGTTAAAGGAGAGAATACTATTTGTTCAATCGGTGGTTTCCAGATTGTTGAATCTGTAGTGTTACATGACTTGACACTTGTGTTGACCTGAGATTTCAGTGAATTTTTTTCCTGAGTTTGATTGCTGAATATAGGCTGCCTCCCCTAGCAGAAGAAAGTGCTTTATTTTCCCTAAATGAACAAAAGTGAGAAATACTGCCCCAATTTCAATAAAATAATGTTATGTTTTCCCAATTCATGTAGGAACATATGCTGTTGTAAAATTAAGATGAAAAAAACCCCTGGATTTATTCATGAATGCTGCAATAGTAAAACTTAAGAACAGTTTACTATAATTAATAAAGTGTAATAGTTCAATCAGTTAAATCTTCATAATTACATCTTTCAGAACAGTATCAGATGTACCCCATGTTGAATCAATATTCTATATTTGTATACTTTGTTTGTAAAATTGGCAAAATATTGTTTATGAACAGTGTTTAAAATTAATGATTCCCTGAAAATTAAAATTTTCACGGTTAGGAAATTATCCAGTTTTTCGCATCGAGTAATTTAGCCCGAATATATCATCACACAGCTTCGTTTGTTTATAGATTATGTAGGTTATTGTTAAGAATAGATACAATCCAGAATCAGTTCCATATTGCAGTCCATATAAAAGGAGCTATAAATCAAATATTTCCACTTGGAAAAAAATCCAATTTTACCATACATTGTATATCTTTTGAATATCGTACTGAGATTGGCTGTAATAAATGATTTAAACTTTAAAACCATAATGTGAATATGAATGAATTTGGAATGTTAGCCACAGTCTTTATAAATGGACTAATACTTGCCCATTCTCATATTAGGAAGGAGACTCCCGATTTTGGACCCTGAAATAAAGTATTTTCAATCGGTGAATTTGCTAGACTATTTCTATATTCTTAGATCTAATGATTTCATCTGAAAGAACAACTGAAAATATGTCATTTTAGGGTTATTTTGTCTCAAAGGGCTATATACACACATTTTGTTCATGTTTTATTTTGAGCATGCAGAATCTCACCCATGGAAATTTTAAAAAGTTGACAAGTATGTGGACTTATAAGAAGTATACCGAGTGCTTACACAGGTGTAGAAGTATACTGAGTGCTTACACAGGTGTAGAAGTATACTGAGGTCTTACACAGGTGTAGAAGTATACCGAGGGCTTACACAGGTGTAGAAGTATACCGAGGGCTTACACAGGTGTAGAAGTATACCGAGGGCTTACACAGGTGTAGAAGTATACCGAGGGCTTACACAGGTGTAGAAGTATACCGAGGGCTTACACAGGTGTAGAAGTATACCGAGGGCTTACACAGGTGTAGAAGTATACCGAGGGCTTACACAGGTGTAGAAGTATACCGAGGGCTTACACAGGTGTAGAAGTATACCGAGGGCTTACACAGGTGTAGAAGTATACCGAGGGCTTACACAGGTGTAGAAGTATACCGAGGGCTTACACAGGTGTAGAAGTATACCGAGGGCTTACACAGGTGTAGAAGTATACCGAGGGCTTACACAGGTGTAGAAGTATACCGAGGGCTTACACAGGTGTAGAAGTATACCGAGGGATTACAGGGGTGTCCAGTGATCAATCTACATACAAGTCCAGAGTCCTATACTCGTAGAATTTTGATGGGACTCAGAATTTCTTGAAATACTTCAATTTCACATTGTGGGACCCATTGCTTTTAGTAATACAGTTGAAAATGATCCATGAAATTAAAGAGTTGAATGATCACTGATGTCATATAGGATCTTATGGATTATTGAGACCATCAAATGTTGATCATGGAAACATTATGATTGGTAAAATGACTGTTTAATCCTCTTGCCTTATGCCTCTGGCAACCAATTTTCAGGTTTTAGCAAGTGTAAAATTTTTGCAGATTTGCCAAGGAAAAGTACAATATTTTGCTCTTTTATATGTCTATAGTACAGGTCTAGACAATAAGGGAAGCTTGATAGTCCGAGACTAGTGAAATCTCCAGCTGGACGAGTGGTATGAAAAACCGCTAGCGTGATTGACTGGTCAAAATTTGATATTGCTTATCTTGTTACACATGGATCTCCCAGACTAGCAGTGATTGTTGTGCTCAGTTTTACTGTCAAATACAGGCTGTTTCTCCTAACTAAATAGTGCCTTATTTTCCCAAATTGACCAAAAACTGAGGAATATATTCCCTATTTCAATCCAAATAATGCTATATTTTCCCAATTTATAAAGGAACAGGCTGTTGTAAAGTTTAGGTAACAGAAACACTGTCAGGGTTACTGGAATTTACACATGGACTAGTAAAAACATGAACACTACTACTGAATTAACTAGTGGTATTACAAATAAATTTTTCGCCCTGTTGCTGAATTTTGTTTCAGAAGTGTTTTGGTAAATTTGATTCAGTCATCGGTACAAAACAGTGCTTCTTTATTGATAGACCTCAGTCTACTTGCCTTTTTCTTGCTTGTGGCAATTTTGATTTATATACACAAAATAGAGATTAATATGAAATCTTCATGATGGACCTGAGCTATTGATAGGCCGCTAAACCCTATAGAAGCCAATTCTCATGAGCAAAATCTTTTATTATTGTTATCATATTATTTTTTAAACAGTATTATAGGATATTTTATTTAAAAAAATTAGGAAAATCATTTTGACTTCTTCACCCCTGAAATTTCACAATGAACTATTCCAACCTTTGAATAGGAAGGGTTCAAATGTGTCTTCTGGGGTGAATGAGTTAATTTGTACCTGCAATTGATCGTTAACTATTGTAAACAACGAAATAGATAATTCACAGGGGTGAAACTGCCTTTGATTTCATAAACATCTTATTTCATAATCTTTAAGTAGAAAAACTTCACAAAAATATATCTTCTAGAAAATGTAAGAGCACTGTTACAGCATGATACAAAATATATAATAAAAATATCATTTTCCCATACCTGTAAGTCAAAGTGTGTGATTGTGGGTTCTCAAACGGTCTAGGAAAAGATTGATTTTGGTGTCGTCCGTTTGGTCAAACATGGCCTCCATCGTTTGAATATATGTTTGCCGGTGAGGTCTGTTACGTCACGTATGTTAAAAGATTTGGCCAATATTTTTTCAAGCAATAGAGAAATTTTAAGATTGCAGAAGCCTTGAAATACTACCCATACCTGTTGCTATCCACATATCCTTACTTGTCCTGTTAAAACATAGCGTTAGTCCTTTGCGGAGAAATTGGCAGGGATATTGTTGTGTGACATGGCTGAAGTCAGCCTCCGTGGGTTACTTTACCTTCATACATATATATAGATGCCTGTTACGTCACACCAGTGTGCAACTCCGTGTACGCATTAAACCCACCCCACCCCCCTCTCCTCCCAAAAAATAGATTTCAATATCACCCATACTTAGAACTATTGTATACATATACCTGTATAGTTCCTTAACAACAAACTTCACCAGAACTCAGAAAAGGAAGAAGATACCCGATTGGCCTGTTTCCGTGGCAACACCAGACCTGCCGACCCTGTGAGCATGCGAGCGGCCATTGCTGAGGTTATTGGCTAGGCTGATGCCTTAGACATGCTCTCTCAAGCTCGTTCTTTTTTTTTGTACGTAAAAAAAATCTATGATCACACAGCTTCTGTTGGCCGTTGGGATAAAGAAAAGTCTATGTAAGGCTACAGAGGCCGGAGCGTGTGGATACATTGATTTCTGACTACATGTAGGTATGCTATACAAGGTCCCCGTGTCACTAATGTCGGGTATTCCAGTGAAATGCCTTGAGGCCCGGGGAAATGGTATAATATATATCACCAGCGTGTTTCAAAACCATTATATATATGTACAAATGTTTAAGGGTATTTTTTTTCTATAATTAAATACACTATTAGTGTATTACCATATCTTGGAAGCTAATAGAATGAACTGCAGAGGTTTATTTATCCCATTTTGATGGGGTTTTACTGAAATTTCATTGATTTTTATCCAAATTGTATTGGGTTTTACATACTTGCCTATTGTTAATCTAAGTGATTTTTAGCTATCTTGTTATGTTAAGTTGTTACATAATGCCTTTGCATTTTGTGGGACATTTTGTACCGGTGTATATTTTTTCTTATGACTGTTGCATATAACAAAAATACATAGTTTTCATCTACAAACACAATACTACAAGTATGTATTGATTTTTATAGAAAACAGATATTACGTACTTTCTGATATTGATCAATAAATCATTCTCTTTTATAGTTCTTGGCTTTATGTAATTATGTACCATTTGGCCTAGATGGTATAACACTCTAACGCAACAGGATATCATTAGATCCATCATTGTTCGAACTTAACGGTAAACCCATAGACATACATCATGAAAAACACCAGGAACAGTAAACCCATAGACAGTCACTATGAAAAACACCAGGAACGGTAAACCCATAGACAGTCACTATAAAAACACTAGGAATGGTAAACCCATAGACATTCACTATAAAAAACACTAGGAACAGTAAACCCATAGACAGTCACTATGAAAAACAACAGGAACAGTAAACCAATAGACAGTCACTATGAAAAACACCAGGAACAGTAAACCAATAGAGTCACTATGAAAAATACTAGGAATTGTAAACCTATAGACAGTCACTATAAAAAACACTAGGAATGGTAAACCCATAGACAGTCACTATAAAAACACTAGGAATGGTAAACCCATGGACAGTCACTATAAAAACACTAGGAATGGTAAACCCATAGACAGTCACTATGAAAAACACTAGGAACAGTAAACCCATAAACAATCACTATAAAAACACTAGGAATGGTAAACCAATTGGCAGTCACCATGAAAAACACTAGGAACAGTAAACCCATAGACAATCACTATAAAAACACTAGGAATGGTAAACCCATAGACAGTCACTATAAAAAACACTAGGAATTGTAAACCCATAGACAGTCACTATGAAAAACACCAGGAACAGTAAACCAATAGACAGTCACTATGAAAAATACTAGGAATTGTAAACCCATAGACAGTCACTATGAAAAACACTAGGAATGGTAAACCAAAAGGCAGTCAACATGAACAACACTAGGAACAGTAAACCCATAGACAGTCACTATAAAAACACGAGGAATGGTAAACCCATAGACAGTAACCATGAAAAACACTAGGAACGGTAAACCCATAGACAGTCACTATAAAAACACTAGGAATGGTAAACCCATAGACAGTCACTATAAAAAACACTAGGAACGGTAAACCCATAGACAGTCACTATAAAAACACTAGGAATGGTAAATCCATAGACAGTCACTATAAAAACACTAGGAATGGTAAACCAATACGCAGTCACCATGAAAAACACTAGGAATGGTAAACCCATAGACAGTAACTATTAAAAACACTAGGAATGGTAAACCCATAGACAGTCACTATAAAAACACTAGGAATGGTAAACCCATAGACAGTCACTATAAAATCACTAGGAATGGTAAACCCATAGACAGTCACTATCAAAAACACTAGGAATGGTAAACCCATAGACAGTCACTATAAAAACACTAGGAATGGTAAACCCATAGACAGTCACTATAAAATCACTAGGAATGGTAAACCCATAGACAGTCACTATTAAAAACACTAGGAATGGTAAACCCATAGACAGTCACTATAAAAACACTAGGAATGGTAAACCCATAGACAGTCACTATAAAAACACTAGGAATGGTAAACCCATAGACAGTCACTTTAAAAACACTAGGAATGGTAAACCCATAGACAGTCACTATAAAAACACTAGGAATGGTAAACCCATAGACAGTCACTATAAAATCACTAGGAATGGTAAACCCATAGACAGTCACTATAAAAAACACTAGGAATGGTAAACCCATAGACAGTCACTATGAAAAACACTAGGAACGATAAACCCATAGACAGTCACTATGAAAAACACTAGGAACGATAAACCCATAGACAGTCACTGAAAAACACTAGGAACAGTAAACCATAGACAGTCACCATGAATATTTGAAGGGGTCTGTCAGAAATCCAAATTAAATAGACCTATTGCCTTTTGTGTGAGAATTACACTTTTGGCAAAAGGGATTGTTTCTCGATCAAGGGAGCTAAGTCCTATCATATTGGCAAAAGGGGTACCGGTTACCCCACAAAACAGGTTCTACTGTCTTGGCAGAAGGGTTTGCTAATCAATCAATGGAGGTTGTAACACATTGGCAAAGGGGTTTTTCTGGCAGGTGGTACTGTTTTGGCAAAAGTGTTTGTTTCTCAGTCAAGGGATGTCCTATTGTATTGGCCAAAAGTGTTTGCCTTCAAGACAGGTTGCACTGTTTTGAAAAAAGGGTTTTCCCAATCAAGAGATCTAGAGGTCCTATAATATTGGCAAAAGGGGTTTTCCTACCATGTATCGTATATAACATATATTAGGAGAATAGGGTACCACAACTCTCTCCCTGTATGTAAGTTTTATGAGAATTATTGGCTACGAGTTGATCTCTTCACATGTAACACATCAACACATAATATGATAATTATACAATTTCAATACCATAAACATCCACCGTTGTTCCTATACGAAAACACACATGTGTATGACGAAAATCACATGATCATGCACTCACATCCTCATACACTAAACAAACAAGAGAGTGAAAGAGGGAGAGTTACTTATATTGTCCAGATTGTGATATGTTCAAATACACTATCTCCTTTCTAACTGTCTGTCTGTGTCTTTGTCACATTCTCTCTCTTTCTCTTAAGAGTCTAACCCTCCAACTTAATTGAAATCACAGTCTCTCTCTTTCCCTTAGAGTCTAACCCTCAACCTTAATTGAAATCACAGTCTCTCTCTTACTCTTAGAGTTTAACTCTTCAACTTAATTGAAATCACAGTCTCTCTCTTACTCTTAGAGTTTAACCCTCCAACTTAATTAAAAAAAAATAAAAAAAATTGACTGGCTGAATTAAGTTGGATAACTTGGCCTTGATACCATTATATATTTGATACAAATAAAATGTTTTTGAATAAAAAATGATTGAAAAATACACAACGTTAATAACATAATCAACAGAGCTTTATCTTATGAAGGATTCACCCCTATGTAACTTTAGTAGACTCTGCCATGCATTGATCTGGATGAGTCCATTATGGTCTACAGTGGTGAAAGGGTTAAGGATACAACCCTATGAATACAGACTTTTTTAAATAGACGGGGTAGTTCAGAAATGTTCCTGTTTGTTATATATAAACCTGTTTCCCCATGTATGTATTTGACATCCTTATAACCTTACCAACCTTGAAAATCAATATCCCCACTCTCCATTTTATATAAAATAAATTATTTAGCATATAATCAAAATAAAAAATCCTGCAGATAAAAACAAAGATTGCGGTCAGTAAGATTTCTAAGTTTTACTTATACAAAGCTGAAATAAGTGTGTCACCAGTACTTATCAATAAAGAAAATAAATTAATTGAGACTATATATATATATATCATTTTGATCTACTTACAATGTGTGAATTGTCTGTAGTTCCGAGTCGTCTGTCCGTTTTGCGGTGATGTAACGTTGATCAGCCTCTCTGTCACTTGACTTTGGCACACCAAGGCACCTCTGTCCATCCTGTTGATTATAGTAGCCATCAAAGCTCCAGTCAGGGATGAGGCGGGTCCCAGTAATATATCCGACATATTGAAATGGTCACGAGAGATGTTTTGTCTAGACTAGTGTGACCAAGGGAAACAGGTGCATGTCTATTTTTCAGATGTTATATTTCCATACTATGTTGATATAAATAATTTATCCTGAAATAAAAATAAAATTGTAAGGTCATTTTTAATCATTAAGATTATAACTACCAGTAAGATGCAAGAAAAAAAATGAAAAACGACTTCTTAAGCTTAAACCCAGATGTGGCCATTAGAAAGGTATACCCCTGGTTCTGTATTTTATATATATATATTTCAAACATGTGATGAACTTCCCTTTCTATTACAAATATACATGTATATCAGAAATTTGCCACCAGTGTTGTTTTTAAAAAGTAACTTTTAGTTCAAATGTTCGGGTTGATTTGGAAAATTGATATTGTTTGCAATAATTTTTTTTCTATCTCTGCAGGCAGTTATGGGTATATACAAGAATCCTATGATTTGTGTAGGAGTTTTCTTGAATAAAAATTAACATTATGTGAAATCAAATAGCTAACTAAATGTTACCAATGCAAATACTGTTGTTTACATTACTCAATTGTGTCTTCAAATTATTGACCATGTTCAAAGTAAATTTCATAATGAGTATGAGATGGTTTTCAAATTTTGGAAATCTTTTCTATTACGAGTAAAGCTTTAAAAAGTTTCCCTTACTGAAATTTCAACGCTTTCAATGCTGAAATTTTATAATGAACTATTCCAACCTGTGAATTGGAAGAGTTCAAATGTATTATCAGGGATGAATGAGTTAAGGATCACCGTACCACTGCCAAAAACTGCAACTAAGAACTGGAAACTGTTTTTTCCGGCATAAGTATAGTTTTGATAAAGAAAACCATACTGTACAGGACATTAATGAGGAATAATAAAAATGAAATAAAATATAATCGATTATAGTGTTTTGAGAGTAGAAATTCTGTGGAGCTAGACCAGGATTTGAACCCAGGACTTCAGGTTGTTATACTATCACTCTAACCAAATAATCTGCCTGGCCATCAGAAATGTCCTGCCAAAACTGTTATTCAGATATATCCTGACGTAAGTTAAGGGGAGGTTACTGTGTATAGGAAAACCACAGTGCAGTGGGACAGGGATCCTGATGTAAGTTAAGGGGAGGTTACTGTGTATAGGAAAATCACAGTGCAGTGCGACAGGGATCCTAAAGGAAGTTAAGGGGAGGTTACTGTGTATAAGAAAACCACAGTGTAGTGGGACAGGGATCCTTAAGGAAGTTAAGGGGAGGTTACTGTGTATAGGAAAACCAGTGTAGTGAGACAGGGATCCTTAAGGAAGTTAAGGGGAGGTTACTGTGTATAGGAAAACCACAGTGTAGTGGGACAGGGATCCTTAAGGAAGTTAAGAGGAGGTTACTGTATATAGGAACAACCACAGTGTAGTGGGACAGGGATCCTTAAGGAAGTTAAGAGGAGGTTACTGTATATAGGAACAACCACAGTGTAGTGGGACAGGGATCCTTAAGGAAGTTTAGGGAAGTTAATGTATTTAGGAAAAATCACAGTGCAGTGGGACAGGGATCTTTAAGACATTCAATGCAAGTCTGTACTGTATGTATACTGTATACAATGTATACTGTAGTATACTGTATGTATGCTGTATGTATGCTGTATGAAGCCCGTATGAAATACATCCTGTATCATCTGAAATGCATGTCCTTGTTTAAATTTTGTTCTTTTGCTGTTGAATGAAAGTTGGATCGAAATGAGGGCAAATGCCTTACTTTAGGATTAGCAGCTAAATCGAGAAAAGAATTCCACAGATAAAGGGAGGTAACTTATGGGTTTAATTTTATACTTAATCTGGAAATGAAACTATATATTTCATAACACTGTCAATTACCTTACACAGAGCAATTATGTTAAGAGTGTTAATGCTTTCCTTAAATGTGAAAACAAGTCAGATTATTTTTTTCATAATGGATGCTGGTGTGTAGAAAATAACAAATATGGTATCTAATTAATATACCATTACTAAAAATTGTAAATATCCATTTTTAATAACACTGAAGTTTATCTTGCCTTACACATTCATATTTAGTTTTTTCCGCCAGATTTTGGGTAATGATATGTTACATAGTGTTGTATTTCAAAGCAAGGAGATGCTACGGCTGACTGAGCCGTTTGTTATTTGATATATTGATGTGCCTTAATATGTATGTAAACATCAATTGTCGCTGAACAGACGAGGTCTGGTGTGTCCGTCATTGTGTGGTTCCTAATACTCCTACTTATGCACCAGGCTTAAAACCTCTCGTACGCGACCTGCTTACATCAGTAATGATGTGGTGTTTTGAGACACACATGTTATGATAATGTTTATATATAAGGTGGCTACGGCTGATTCATACTCTACAGGGATTCTTATCTATCTACCTAAACATACAGTCTCAATAATATATATATATATAGATCTCATCCAGATCTCCACGGGCAGATTTCTTTCCATTTTCGGATTGCAAATCAATTGGTCACAGTAACCATGGCATCAAAACCCTATTGAACCAATCGTGTGATCGCTACTGGTGTTTTAACTGTATAATGATATATGTGTGGCGAGCTGGAGAGAAGTGACAGGTCTTTGTTGTGGTCTGGAGGTTGTGTGTGGCTGTAGCAGGGGGACCAGGGTATACCTCCATACACAAAACCAGACAGAATGACCTTATCTAGGCCAACTCAGCTAGGTCACCATGTCTGGGTCACTCCGCTACTCGGGGGCTCCCCACGGGGAACTCAAAAATATATACAAACAACACAGTTACTGCATTAAAAAATATCATATTATCAAAATATGGTATAGCAAATAGAACAAGGGAATACAAAAATATATACAAACAACACATGTACTGCATTACAAAATATCGTATTATCAAAATATATTACAGGGGAACGCAAAAATATATTCAAACAACACAGGCTCTTCATTAAAAAGGAATGTATTATGGATTTAAAAGATACAAACAGGTGCATGACAATATATTTCAAAAGAAGAAGGGTATAACAAATAGAACAGGGGAACACAAAAGTACTTCTGAGATGGTATAAAGGGTGATGTTTATAAAAATAGAAAAATAAATACAGTTGTTACTAACACAGAAATAAAGTAAATAGAACTGTAACACAGAAAGAAAACAAAAACAATTAATTACTGTTGGGCAAAATGATTCTTGTTTTAAATACAATGTTACAAAAATGGAAATAAATAAATAAAAGTATCAAGAACTAGGGTAAAAATGTACAAACACAGAAAAATAATATTAAGTAAAACACAAAGAGATGGTAGAATAAAGAAAATGTAACAATGGTACAGGGGGAAATGAAAAATACAATTTAAAATAAAAATAAAATGTAAATAAGCAAAGGAAAATAAAAATTAAAAAAAACCAACAGAAATTAATGCTTGGTAGTAAAGGGAACAGAATTGGATTTCTCAACTTAAAGATGGAAGCACTCCCCACAAACAGACACTGGACAAATTCTGCCTATATCCAAGGTTTGATCCCTTTAGACAATTTGTGAGAATTATTTTTATCCGTCACTTTGGTAAAATTTGTGAGAATTATTTTGGTCCCCCACTTGGGTAAAATTTGTAAGAATTATTTTGGTCCGTCACTTTGGTAAAATTTGTAAGAATTATTTTGGTTCTTCACTTAGATAAAGTTTGTGAGAATAATCATGGTCTCTCACTTTAGTATTTGTGAGAATAATCATGGTCTCTCACTTTAGTATTTGTGAGAATAATCATGGTCTCTCACTTTAGTATTTGTGAGAATAATCATGGTCTCTCACTTTAGTATTTGTGAGAATAATCATGGTCTCTCACTTTAGTATTTGTGAGAATAATCATGGTCTCTCACTTTAGTATTTGTGAGAATAATCATGGTCTCTCACTTTAGTATTTGTGAGAATAATCATGGTCTCTCACTTTAGTATTTGTGAGAATAATCATGGTCTCTCACTTTAGTATTTGTGAGAATAATCATGGTCTCTCACTTTAGTATTTGTGAAAATTATCTTGGTCCGTCACTTTGGTAAAATTTGTGAGAATTATTTTGGTTCCTGACTTTGGTAAAATTTGTGAGAATTATCTTGGTACCCCACTTGGGTAAAATTTGTAAGAATTTTCATGTTTTCTTCACTTTTGTAAAAGTTGTAAGAATTATCTTCGTCCCCCACTTTGGTAAAATTTCTGAGACCTATATTTGTTCCCTGGCTTTGGTTGATATGCCAGAACTATTTTGATTCCATACTTTAGTGAGAAGGATTTTGGTTCCTCATGTTGGTAAAATTTGTGAGAATTATTTTGGTTCCTCACTTAGATAAAGTTTGTGAGAATAATAATGGTCTATCACTTAAGTATTTGTGAGAATAATCATGGTCTCTCACTTAAGTATTTGTGAGAATTATCTTGGTCTGTCACTTAAGTATTTGTGAGAATTATCTTGGTCTGTCACTTTGGTAAAATTTGTGAGAATTATTTTGGTTCCTCACGTTGGTAAAATTTGTGAAATTATTTTGGTTCCTCACTTAGATAAAGTTTGTGAGAATAATCATGGTCTATCACTTTAGTATTTGTGAGAATTATCTTGGTCCGTCACTTTGGTTAAATTCTCGAGAATTATTTTGGTTCCCTGGCTTTGGTTAATAAGTGAAATTTTTTTTGGTTCCTCACTTGGGTAAATTTATGAGAATGATTTTGGTTTCTCACTTTGGTAAAATTTGTGAGAATTATTTTGGTCCCCCACTTTGGTAAAATTTGTGAGAATTATTTTGGTTCCTCACTTTGGTAAAATTTGTGAGAATGATCTTCGTACCCCACTAGGGTAAAATTTGTGAATTATTTTGGTCCCTCACTTTGGTAAAATTTGTGAATATTTTGGTTCCTATTTGTGAGAACGATTTTGGTTCCTCACTTTGGTAAAATTTGTGAGAATTATTTTGGTTCCTCACTTTGGTAAAATTTGTGAGAATTATTTTGGTTCCTCACTTTGGTAAAATTTATGAGAATTATTTTGGTTCCTCACTTGGGTAAAATTTGTGAGAATTATTTTGGTTCCTTAGCCTTGGTATAATTTGTGAGAAATACCTTGGTCCCCCACTTTGGTAAAGTTTGTGAGAATTATCTTGGTCCCCCTCTTTGGTAAAATTTGTGAGAAATATTTTGTTACTCACTGGTAAAATTTGTGAGAATTATTTGGTCCCTCACTTTGGTAAAACTTTTGAGAATTATCTTGGTACCCACTTGGGTAAAATTTGTGAGAATTATTTTGGTTCCTCACTTTGGTAAAATTTGTGAGAATTATCGTGGTCCCTCACTCAGGTTAGATTGGTGAGAATTATTTTGTTCCTCACTTTGGTAAAATTTGTGAGAACTATATTGGTCTCTTCTCTCAACAACACAGGGGTCAAATGTGTAAAGCTTTGAATAACTTTTTCTACAGACCATATGGTAATTTGGCCATTAACTCTATAAGAGTGCGGTAAGGTATTGTTTTCTTTTCAGAAATCATTCATCAATGGTATGGTCAAGCCTGAAAAAATCAGTTTCATTTTTTGGCAGAAGTGCAGAGTTCCTTAAGTAAATGAAATACAACAAAGTCGGAACAATTAGAAAATTCTTGATGTGTTAGGGTGTAATGTCTTGTGAGAGTCAGTTTTTGTCTCCCATGTTGTAAATGTGGTGTGTGATATTGCGGGCTCAGAAAGTCGGATATATTTACTGTAACGTAATGGTCCGACTGTAACAGGTGCTCCCCGTGTAATAAGTCTGGGATCGGTGAATATCGATTGTCCATCGTATGTTGTAAGACAGTGTTTATATGATGTCTGGATCAATGGAATTGGTGAAGTTTACACAGACAACCTAGACACCGTCCAGGCCGACATTTCTCTGGGAGTACGTTGGGTTTTATATATTGTCTTTAAGCACTGCATGTAGAAACCAAAAAATTGCATTGAAAGTTTGAGCCGAAATTGTTTTGTCACGGAAATGTTTTTCAATGGTTGACTTTTCTTGTGATGTACGAATATATATAATACTTCCTATAAAATGATCAACTAATAAATTATACGATTGTTTTAAGTAACGCCCATCTTGCTTATTCGGAGGTACAGGAAATTACGTACAAATGTGTGACATCACAATGACGCGTTGAATCAGCATAATAAAGCACGTTGTCAGGAACACAAAACGTCAGTGCAATGTTAAGACCCATGTTTTCCCGTCTGAATTCCTCTGGATATTACACCCATATTGAAGTTTGGTGTTAAATTTTCTCATCCATATGTCCTCAATTAAGAGTCAATATGACTTGCCTTCCTTGTGTTCTGGCTGTAGCACCATCGCCCCAACATCATCGACTGAATGGTCAAAAAAATGCCTGCTATAGATCGGTTTTTTGCCTTGAGTAAAACGTCTCTCACATAATATATACACTGTTATACGTAATGAAAAGCTGAGGGGTAGTTTTTCACAGTTTTGGAATTGAGGCCTGTAGCTTTACTTTTGATTAGAGAAAATCGTGTTAAATATTAAAACTCCCCTTATTTACAAATAATGATTTATTTTTAATTTTCAATTTCTTTTTCTTTTTCAAGAAGGCTTTTAGGAAAAAAAATCATTATTTCCATTGTAAAAGAGGCCAACACTTACCCCCCCCCCCCCCCCCCCCCCCCCCCCCATCATAAAAGAAATATTCTGTTAACTTTTGAATCAACATGATATGTATAGATACTATATCTATACTATACTATATGAACAAATATAGACACAACAGACTTATCAATCTGGAAATTACAATTCACCACAGAAAATTTATCTTGATCCATATCAGCTATGAAAATTGTCATCATGGTGCCGAACCAAAGCTATACATCAAGATGTATTACATCACATGTTTAATATTGTATTTCTCATTGTCAAATCAGATAAGATTTCTACTCACATTTCATGTTCTGTTTCTCTTTTCCTCAGGTCCCTGGATGGTCGACTACAAGTGTCACATCGGAAGGGTCTTCCCCATGTCATTTACTGTCGCCTATGGCGATGGCCCGACCTCCAGAACCACCAGGAACTTAAGGCCATTGAGCAGTGCGAGTACGCCTTTTACCTCAAGAGGGATGAAGTGTGTGTCAACCCATACCACTACGTAAGGGTGGAGGCCCCAGGTAATATCACAATAATAAAGGTCAAGTTTCTGATAATTCTTGTCATGTAATTTCCTTTTACTTGTTTTATCTATCTTTTATTGACCCTAAAGACCTCTTCTGTGTTTTTTGGCCATTAAGAACTCAATAAATGAATACCTGAATTGTGTCAGATTACAGTCTCAAGTCTATCTGTTTCATGCATTAGGCCTTTTAAAAAGGTCAAGGTTACTGATGATTCTTTTGTGTCATGTTACAGTTTCGGCTGTCTGCTTCATGTATCAGGCCTTGTTGTTGAAGGTCATCTGAGGTCCTGTGCTGTTATGTCAAAGTTCACCTGGGTCATGTATTACACTGTAGTAAACAAAATACGGGGTCATGATCTGGGTCATGATGTCAGAAGTCTTCCGGGTGTTTAGTGGGCCATAGTCTAGAAGGTCCTGTATCAGGCTTTGGTGGCAAAGGTCATGTGAAGTCATGTTTCTGGCTGTAGTAAAAGTCGTCTGGGAGTCAGGTATCAGGCCCTAGTGTCAGAGGTCACCTTTGAGTCATGTATTGGGGTGGTTGTAAAAGTCATGTGATCAGTTGTGTTAGGTCATAGTTCAAAGGTTATAATAAATTTATTTATATTTATGCCTGGTCATTATGGTTAAAGGTCCTGGCTACTTACTTCTGTTGTTAATGTGGTCGTGAATCATGGCTTGGCCGTCAATGGTTAGATTTGCTAAGTGTCGGTGAGGGGGTGATTTCAGTGTCGGTGAGGGGGTGAGTTCAGTGTCAATGGTTAGATTTGCTAAGTGTCGGTGAGGGGGTGATTTCAGTGTCGGTGAGGGGGTGAGTTCAGTGTCAATGGTTAGATTTGCTAAGTGTCGGTGAGGGGGTGATTTCAGTGTCGGTGAGGGGGTGAGTTCAGTGTCAATGGTTAGATTTGCTAAGTGTCGGTGAGGGGGTGATTTCAGTGTCGGTGAGGGGGTGAGTTCAGTGTCAATGGTTAGATTTGCTAAGTGTCGGTGAGGGGGTGATTTCAGTGTCGGTGAGGGGGTGAGTTCAGTGTCAATGGTTAGATTTGCTAAGTGTC